AAAAAAAACGTTTTTGGAGTCGAACCCATCATTGTCATCATTGTCAATAGGATCAATAAAAAATCAATGAGTTTTATAAATAGTTAGACTGAGCCGCACACACACTGTAAGTTCTTTTCCTATATCGTTTTGTTCTTCTACATAGATTATTTCCGCTGAAACTCCGGTCCCTAAAACCAGCAAGCTTATGATACTATTTGAACAATTATCATGCGATAGCTTATCAAATTATATTGCGTCAGAAGGTTTTTGTGACAAGACGACCTCATACATATTAATGACTTTCAAATGATGACTTTTTTGAGTGAATGATCTCTGTTGGGGAAAATTTATAATTTTTAATATACATTTATACATCAATTAAAAAATATTGTGATCGAGATGAAAAATCAGTATAAATGGCTGTATTATATTTTTATTGAAAAGATTTTCAGCTTTAAGTACAGTCAAAACATACTTGATAAACGAATTTGCTGTCGTTTTCGTCTATGGGAGCCATAGTAGACGTTTAAGGGAACTGCCTGTCTTTACAAGAGAAACATAGAGTTCTTACAGAAAAGAAAATCAAGTGTTATTGGATTTGATCGTAGTTCTTATTTTTTGTCTGGTCTTAGGATATAAATGCTTCATATCATTCTTATCGCATATTAATTTCCTCTTGCAATTGAATTCAAGTATGTATCACTTGTATTTTAAGATGACCGCCTTCCTTGATAACCCGTCAGGGCAAAGACTAGATTCCAACACATGTAAAGCTATAGGAATATTAGAGTTTCATTGCACCGCAAATGTGTCCATATCACTGGGCAGAATCATTGAGCAAAGTCAGTTCGTGCTATGGTTGAGTAAATGTATGTTTTTCATAATCATTTGCTTTAGAATGCAAGGTTTCGCCCCATTTTAGCCCTTTTTGTAACTCTTTTTACTGACTCATTTTTCTCAAGACGGAAAAACGGTACAAAAACGCTGCAAAATTGAAACGCTCTTCAACAAGGGGCTTGTCTTACAAACTATAAAGCTGTCACAGATAAAGTTATCATCATAGTCTGAATGTCATTGGATTTTTCGATCTTTCGAGGACTTAATAAATAGACTGCATCGCTTTGTTCGCAGGGTGCACTGGGAACTACAATGGACATCTAGCGGTGAGTATAACGGATAGAATCATCATGAATAGTGAGCAAATGTAATCACAAAGACTGTCTTGTTGTCCCGGTTGTTTTGAATGCCGGCATATCATGAAAACGTTTGAATCATAGTATAAACTACTGAAACCGGAATTGAAAAGGAAAGAAAAATTAAAACATCGAGTGCCGAAATATCAATATATATCTGTCGGTGCACAGAAATGATTCATACAAAGTCAATACGCAGAAGACGTTGATGGATATCAGCACTGTGCGCAGAGAAACCAACCAACAAGGCAAACTTTGAAACTGAGCATTGTAAAATCTGATTGGCTGTTGCATTAAATGGAACGCGCACGCGTCAAGTTCTGCACACCTCGTGAAGTTCAATCAGAACACTTTGTTTTTAGCGTCCATATAATTGATTCAATCGCCTAAAAACGCGTTTGTAATGTAATTTCCTCAACGGAATAAACAACAATGCAAACCCTGTTTTGAGGCGAATGGGACGATTACATTGATACAAGGCATAAGTCTCCTCTCGAGTCAAAATATAATTCAATAGCTTCATTATTGCAGACACTCCGCTATTTTTGGAACGACATGAATCTTTAGATTATTGAAACATAAATAGAAATCTTAAAAAAACGTACGTATTACAAGAGCGATCGTACCAGAATAACATTACATGCATATGTAACGTAAAAACCCCCTATACCGAGCGTCAATTATATGTCGCCCGGACAACTCTACGACCACTTCAAGGTTTGACGTTCCTGTTTCGTGTCATGCCGAGATTAATTATGTGTGTTGAGATGATTTTGAATCTGTCAAGAATTCATCACTTCTATCTTCGTATCTCGGAGCCTTTTTCTGTGAAAGGTCTTCAATTTTATAATCTGATAATGTTCGATAATCTTGCCATATTTGCCTTCTATTTGTTTGTGTTAATCTATTCAACCAAAATTACTCATACGATTTTACCGTTCAATAACAATGACTAGAAAACTGATGGAAAATTTCAATGCACGAGGAAGATTTCTCGCGGGAGCGAACTATCGCAACCATGTCAATTTTGTTTTGTTTTCGTTTCGTTTTTTGCTTCCTTTCTTAAAGCTTTGTTTTTTTTTTAGTTTCGTGTGGTTTTATTCAGTTTTGCAATAACATCTCTAACATTGCCTTTCTGTTTAAATATTGTTTTGCCCTACAAGAGAATTACAAATATATAAACTAGAAAATTGATCGCATACATATGATAAATAAGACATTTTTAAAATGGAGATGTAGTATTGTGAAGGAGGTGCCTCAATGAGTTTCTATACATGCCATCTTTATTTTCACACACACCTCTTAATCAAGACCGGACAAGCTACAAAGACTGAATATAAAAGTCAACAAACAGAGATTACACGGGATGGGGTGGGGATTAAGAAAAGTTTTGCTGGGGATTGGTTGTCGTATCTTTGCACAATAAAAGGCGGCTATTAGAGTACAAGAGTTGCTTGGAACGATAAGTAGCACTGCTCAAACACAGTAAAAACTATCAAAGGTTAATGGAAGGTCACGGAAGTTAGACAAGATGACCGCTTCTCATTAACATAAGAATGAAGTAAAATACTTTAAACGGCGAGTAACATCTAAAAAAACATTGAGCTGACACAAATGAAAGACAATTTACTCAATTTGCTCGAGACAGGGATATTTTCTTTGCCTCAGATACCAGAGAGAAGAGCATTAAAGACCCATTATATTGTGTTGAAACGAATGTCTGGATTTCACCGGATGGAGACCAATTCATAATAAATTATCTCTTTGTCAGCGATTTTTCAGCCGCAAGGATGAGACTTACAAATTACACGTTTCCACCCACTGATATGTTTACGCTTGCACACGATTTCAACACCTCGGGTGTTCTGGTTTGCAGACCTCTACATTCTTTCGTGAGTTAATATAGATCATTGTTCTTGAGGCTTTGTCGATGTATCGTTTGGTTTTGCCATAATTTAGCAAGTCTTTTTACACTCTATTTGCAACTATGTGCTAATTTTGACACTAAAGGTGTTTATTGGTTCTTATCACATGGTAACCGAGGCTTCCCTAAAGTCTTGAGACTATGCACAAGGTGTAGGCATTACGACGACGTTACATAGCTCCTGGCAACAGACTACAAGACGTACTAGCTTAACGATAAAGAAAAGAACAGCTAAATGGCGAAGTGAACATCTTTGTTTCGTATGGTAACCAGAATGCTTAGATCAATCAATTCTCAGGATTAACTCACTCATTATACTTTTATAAACTTTGAACTATTGTAAAACCTTGACTACAAACTTTGCTCATATCCTTTGATATTAGAAACAATAGAAAAAGATAAAATATCACTTAGTGCAAGGGAGATGTTACTTTTACTAACAGAAAACTCTGTTTTGATGAGCCAAACACTCACGGATTTACATAGGGTTAAATTTCACGACTATCACAGCAAATAGCTCTCTTGGATGGTTTTGATTGACATGCGCGCGTAAAATCAATACAAATCAATTGTATGAGCATTCGTAAGGCCATTTTATAAGCTTAGTGTTTTCAAGATTCATGATGCCATGGTGTCAACGGGTAGCTAAACATTTTCAAGGGTTGCCACTCGAGCGGCGATGGTATATATATCTACCGTTACGTATATTGAGTGCCCTTCATCGGATGGCTATAATACTCGRCATGACCTGTATAACTATTAACATATCACATCGTTATCATTCTAATTCAACGAAATACGCAACGAGAAGTAAAAATACCATAATTGCAAAATAAATGCAGGCGAGCGTCATGATCTGATTGATTCTGTATCAGTGTACTTGGGTCAATAAAGAACAATCTCCATGCGCGATAACTATGGCTTGTAGGTTGTTCCTTGGACTAACAATCATTGCAAATTATCCCCCACATTTTAATAAACAACAATCAGTTGGTAGACATTGGGGAGCCTTTCTTGAAGGCACAAACGTGAACATGGTAATTTCTAGTCGAGGTTCCAATGCGTCGTTACTCGAAATCTTGGTCCACCACAGCGGCGCCCACATGGTCTCTTTCGTTTATCAACATCTTTTATCGCTGCTAAAAGAAACGGGAATGGAGTAAACAATAGTTTCTCTGCCTTTCCACTTCAATTTGAATTTTCTAAATTATCTTTATTGGCGTATTGATTGAGGACCCGTCAAGACGTTTGTACTGTACATTTGAGGAACTCATTATCGTAAGAGAGTGAGTCTTGTCAGAAAACTGCCTTGATTGACTCCCTAAATGATAATCGCTGCTGTTTGCGTTAAAAACTGATGCGGCACATTTGATTTCAAGCCAACTACCTTTCTTTGAAAAATAAATAAAAAATGGTCGATAGTTAAACGAGGCTAAATGGAATCCTTTTGTTTTCTGTCCAAAGGAGATGGTTGTTTACCTTCGGCAAATATCAAAAAACATCTCCAAATTGCACTTCAAAATTTTGTTAATTGTGTATTTTCAGGGACAGGCTTTGTCAAAGACCACTATGGGTCTTGAAGTCYGATCTACTTTTCATACTTAAAAACAAAGCCATTTTGTCCATGAGAAATGCGTAATGGCGCGTTTTGTTTGTTCCTTCAGGCTTTCCTTTGTCAATTTTTCTTTTATCGGACAAAGTCGGATAACAACATACCCGACAAAGACTTGAGCTTATCTGTGACTCGCTGCATTTTGTGTTTTAATAGTTAATTGAATTCCTCTTCGATTATCGTACGATAATGACTGTTAATTGACACCTATTCAAGTAATAATATCAAGTAATTGTATAATGAACACGGTACATTTATTTTCTAGTTTGAGCAAGGTTTGAAAGGATCGTCAAGGATTAAGTAGTCGTACCAAGGAGCTTTACTTTGATTGGAGAACAATTGCACCTACGATAGTCCTTTAACCCTGCTTCCTTTTACATGATATTTTTGGGCTTTACGAATTAGACTAATAAGCTATGTATATGTATTCCAAACAAGAGACCCCTTCAGATGTCACTTTACTTGTCCATCACGCGGTCGCCGTCCAGTGAGTGGTTTCGCCTTGAACAATGCGTTCAAATAACTAGCGCCATCTGCCTCTGCTAGCATAACATCTCTGGCCAGGGCCTCTCGACACATCTGCTAGGCACAAGAAACGAAGTTGCATCGGACAACCATTGGGAAATCAAATCAAAAATGTTTTACCAAGACCCCATGCTGTATTACCATCCACAACAACCGCGGTTCACCTTTGCTTCGCACAACTCAATCCTTCCTAGGACACCGTCGCATCATCCAGCAAATCGCTCACCATTCCTGATTGAGAACCTACTAAATATTCCTCGACCTTCATGCATGATTCCACCAAGACAAGAGGTCTTCCAAGAATCAGTCCCACCTACTGGCAGTGGCTCGGACTCGCTAACATTCAGTATGCGTTCTATACTATCAAGTCGCAACGAGCCGCCAGTCTTTCAAGGTACGTTTACATAGTCATATATATGAAGGTACTTTAAGCGAAGCATTACGACGTACACTCCTGTCAGCACTGTATACATCAGACCACATACTAGTATTATAGTCACTATCAACTCTTTTATTAGTCACCCGACCATCTAAATCGACACTGCTTTCAAAATGCTTTTGACACCTTGGTCGGCCCTTCCGTTTCACTGTTGCCACTTCGACTACCCTGAAAGTAAGCTTTATTTATCGAAAATGAATTTGGTTTACTTGATTTTTATTGAGGATATTTCTGCGACAAAAAGTTGCTCTCGTTCTAAACACGCACGTTTAATTGTCAAAGGGTTCAGCTTTCTTGACACCTCGTACTTCAAGTACAATTCACACTTAATGGGCCTAATTTGTATTCGCTGTTATGGGGCAAGTGGAACATAGTCCGCTTGAGGCAACATCATTTTCTGTATGATCAAGCAAGTTCCTCTGTCATGTCGTCAATTTGACTCGTCTTTGGAGGGCGCTTAAAGCCATTAGTGACCACAGAAACTCAGGCACAACACAAAGCATTGCCGGCCTAAGATCCTTAAATCAACCTATACAACCACAGCCTTTGGCGAGTCGAGGAATTAAAATCTTGGAATAAAATAGGTTTAGTTTCACTGATCGGCCTGAGAAGCTTCTCAACCAAATGGCTCAATTATACAATTTGGGAATTAGCTTTTGTAAAAGAAAGGGACAGCACGTCTAAGTCTTACCCTTATGTTCTTAATCACCGGACGTTATATCTAATTTGTAAACAATTTTCTGGAGAAAAACCTCTTAAAGGAATCTATTAAAAGGCGAGTTAGTATCATTAGGGGTTTTCGGTATTCGCTTGTATAGGAAGTCGAGATCCCTTTTAAATGTTCTTGTACAGGAATAAAGATATGGAAAGATGTCTTGAGGGACTAGAGGCGCCCGTGATTCTCTATTATACGCGTACTTGCTTATCTGATATCATCCTTTTGTGTAAAAATAGCCGTAGAAAATAGGCCACTTAGTTGAAAACATCCTAATTGTCATCTATCATTTTTCCTTTGAGACATTTAATCGAAACGCTTCAAGACATTAACAAACAACAAACAAGTTGTGAAATTCTTTTCCATCCCAAATGAGAATGTACTTGTGAGCATCTACTAACAGAGTATTTTGATATAACGAAACATAATGTAATAGTTTTTAAATGATTTAAAGTGAGCCCAAATATTATGATGATTTTGCTGATATCATTGAGAACACCTTTGGGTGCCGGAGAAAAGAGTTGGTCATCGAGTCTCAGTTTGAGATTACAGTTCTTCCTGTACTGACGATATCAAAAGTAAGAAGAAGTAGAGTGCTTCATTGAAAGAAAACACTTTAGCTTCATTGTTGTTGAAACAAGAAAAGCTTCAAATCTTGGTCGAACATGTGCTATCCGTGTCTAGTTTCACCTGTAAGGGTGTCGTTTTACACACACTATCTTGGCTTGTTTTAACACATTCAAAATTACATTACAAATAAACAACTCCAAGAACAAAGAAAGTCACTACAGCACTTCATCGAGAAAAGTGTCATTCCGTGTGAACATCTGACATGCAGTAAATGGGTACTGCAAACGTTCCATTCACGACATCAAAATCTTAATCATTCCGTTTGGTTTTACGTTATCGGGATAGTTTCTTAGCCAAATGAGATAGTGACCATCAATTCGCTACTGTAAGCTCTCTTGAAAATGCCTCACAAACCCTTGGAAATCATTACTTCTCGAGAGGCTTTCAATAGATCGTTTCTAACAGTTGTTTTCATTCTTTTTGTAGACCCTAGTGCAGAGGTCATTAGACGACTACCCGTGTACTTTCGCGTCAAGCCAACTCTGCGAACACCAAGTGGACGTCGTTGTCGTAAATCTCGTACAGTATTCACTGATTTACAGCTTCGTGTCTTAGAGAAAACATTCTTTGAACAGAAGTACTTAGACACGTCGAGCCGAGGAAAACTTGCGCAGACTCTTGGTCTAAACGAGACACAAGTCAAAACGTGGTTCCAAAATCGACGAATGAAATGGAAGAAAGAAACTGGGAAAGACGAAATAAATGAAAAAGACAATGACAATGACGAACAAAAACGTAAAGAAACGAGCAAACAAGACATTGAAAAAGGTGCGAACATTTCATGAGGACATTTCGTTAAGTAAAAGTACCAGAATGGTACACTCAAACTGAATTATGCTAACGAGAGATATTTTTCCGATTAAGTCCAAAGCTCACTACAACTTGCTTGGGATGAACATGAAATCTTATATTCTTTCCGGAACATAAAATTTCTTCAATGTCAGGACAGTCCCAAGTAAAATCCCATTTCATTGGGTTGTTAATATGAAAAAGACACTTGTTCATAAAAGAACAAAACACAATAGGGAAATTATGGACATTTGGATGAGTTTTCCGGTCTGTGCTCACTGCATGTCACAATAAAAAGGTTTGAATAAGCACTTTGCTGACAATATTGATTTCGCCAGTCATTATGTGACCGTTTTCAGTATTTCTGTTTTCATGCATTGAGCTGAGTTGAGTAATAACGTTGGTGAAGTAATCGAGAGCTCCTTCGATAAATCGATGGAAACCACAAACAAAAACGATGTGAAAAACGTCAAGGTACATTGATCGTTTTAATTCCAGTAAGCAAAATCTTCCTTTCGTTTCGCTTCAATAATTGTCAAGCCAACCCCACACCTACATTAACAAACTGAAAACGCGCTGATATAAAGGTCTATATATATATAATAATAATGACTAAAAGCTTGAAAAAAGGCTAAAGTTCACATGAAAAACGCCAATTTAGTCAACTTTTAAAATGTGGTTAGAGGATAATATTTAATATCTTTTTGTTTTGAATAAAATTCATTCATTAATTGTCGTTTTCCTGCGTCCGTGCCAAGAAATCAAGTTGAGCCGCGCCCTGCAACACATCAACTATCTTTACATAATTCCTTTATCAAATAATTTCATTACTCTAAGAGCTTTTGGTTTATTTTTGATATGAATGAATTCTCCATAAAGGTTTGTTTGATTAGTATGTCAACATTGAGTTGCTTTAATTCTGAAGTCCACTGCGTCGACAAATTTCAAGTGCGAAGTGAAGTAATTGGCTTAGTTTCCGACAAGAACGAGCTTAATTCGATCACAAATCATATTAAAGCAATCGTTTTGCCGTGTAAAATGTACCAAACAAAGGAATAAAATACAGCCAAACGGCAATCTCCAAAAAGTTGAAAAAATAACTCGAGACGGGAAATATCTCCAATTTCATATTGTTGTTAGGTTGAGTGCAATGAAGTATTTTTTTGCTCGGCCTGATTCGCCATTCAATGTTCGCGTGAACTTTTGTTTGCTTTCCCCTCCATTGAAAGACTGGATTGCACAGTCAGAAGGAAAAATAACTTGATAACCCGGGCATCAAAAATCATCAATCGGTCGTGTTCTTTGGGAATTCTCTGATCTCACTCAAAGAAGTGGGCATGGATTTAAAGCAAGAAGCTTAAGATGTCATAATTTGTCGACATGTTTTAAACAATAGACTTACATAATTCGCTTGGTTTTTACTGACATAATTTAATCTTTATTCAACTGTCGCTTTCAAGAAAAACTCCAATATGTCAACACCGGTTTGATCAAAGAGTTAATGCTTGATTGTTCAGAGTAGACAACTCGGATATACCGTAGTCCTGACTCTGCAGACTACACAAGGTATTATACATTATCAGTTTTTGAGGCAGATTTTTGGGCTGAATAATAATTTCAAGATAAAAACATTAAAAACAATTAGAAATATATCCCCCAAGAAAACTATTTTAAAGATGTTTCAATATTTTCAATGAATCTAAAAGTAAAAGCTACCAGTTTTCTGGCGATAAATGGATCACTTTTTATCCTTAGTATCTGTATACAATTGTTTTAGTTTCCATCGACATTTTGAAAACCTGGCATGTAGTTTTCTAAAAGTTGCAWACAAGTGAAATACTAAAAATTAAAATTAAGATAAATCTGGCGAGCATGAGGACGACAATTTCACTGACGAAATCTCAATTTAAAATCTCAGTTTTTCTATCAAAGGTTTCATAATTTTCATTGCGTGTGGATAAGATCTTAATTCAAACACTGATCATCTTATCAGCTACTTTTACAGAAATCAAGGGATCTCATATACAAATGGGCGGATTACAGATTTACAATCAGAGATATAAAACGATCWAAGCTGTAGCTAGTGAAAACACTCAACAAGGTCACATGATACTGATACTGAAAGATGATTGGTTGATAAACTGATACAATTTTCAGTGTAACATCAGCGTTTCCTTAAATATAATCATCAAATACCATGAAAACGTACTCAAAAGTTCGGTGAAAAAGACTGAATGTAAAGTAAAGAAATAAACCAAATGGAGACAAACTTTTTATAAGACAAAAAAAGACCCCAACATAATGCAAGTGTTATAGTTATAGCAAGTGTTAAGACAAACCACAAAACTGCTTAGTTATATCAAATATTATTAACTTCCAATAATAATGAACAGTAAAGAGAAAAGTATAGCAATACAGAAATAATGAAAATAAAAAAAAATAAAAGACAATTTAAAAAATCTGTGACTATTGAACTAGTGTTAGAGGATTTTCCTGCGATGATGCACTTGCAGGGCCACTTCCCTTGATTTGAAACAAAGTTAGCAACTAAGTTTGAAACTAGACATAAAAGCAGCTTAAATTGTTAACTTAAAAATCAATGTAACTTAGGAATCTGGTTTGAGGTCCTTTAATTTTTTTTTTAAACTAGTCTGAATCCCTGTAAAACTGAGTATCAAAACTCTTGCAATAGACTAATTAGTCTTTTATTGTCACGTAGCTTGACTATACACATCGTTCCTCTGGCTATTTTTAGTCATCGTATAATCATCTTTAAAATTTTCCTTCCTCTCCACAAACAAAGGTGTTATTAGGTAAACTTTCCAGGAAAGTTATCATATTGTCATGGCAATCACATGTATAATGCTCAGTTCCACGAAAGCCTTGAACGCATTACCGACATCAAATTGTGCATTTTATACAAGTTGATTCAGTATTCACATTGAGTTTCAAAAAGCCAATACGAACTGGCATTATACAATTGAATTATCTTTTTACGCCTATTGCCCTCTCATATATCATAACGACTTTAGTGTCTACCATACTATCACAAATCCAGCATTCTGATTGGTTACTGAACTAAGGGTATTCACTTTAGACCAAAAGTAAAGCGAAAATAGTCSAAAAAATGTTATGATGTCCTTTTGCCATATTTGTCCTATGATTTRATGGATTCTAAAACAATCAGACACTTGGTCTGGTGACTCAATACAAGAGTCCATTCCACTCGAGCTCGATCGTGTTCTTATTGCCAATCATCCAATCAGAGATTCAGTTATCAAAAACGATGAATGACTACCTGCTTAGCGGCCAAGCCTAAACATACGTATGATATAGTGATGTCCCCTTCTCTACAACAAGAGGTCATAACACGTGACAATGAAAACCAGAAAARCATGAAGACCAGTTGAGTCAGCTAAAATAAATATGGTCGCGTCGATTAAACAAGAAAAACATGCCGATAAGACTGAACATGTCACGTCGACTCGACAACTTCATGCCCTCATTTGATTCATATAGACTGACGTATCACTGAATTCATTGGACTCTAGTAAAACCCCTTTTTCTACATGGACACTACTAAATCAAAACCTGTCAAGTCTACTAGTGTAGGGAGACAAACGCAAAATAATAGAAATTAAGTAATAATCACAAAAGTAAGAAAATCGGCGATTGTCCAAGCCTCAAAGTCCATTGAATGAGACACATCAAGTTGGCTTGTTTTATCATTTTTTGCGGTTAAAACTACACGGCTCCTTTCATTAATAAAATGATCTTCAATCTAAGTGAGATTCAAAGTACTTAACATGATATCTCGCCACTGTATCATTTCTGGCCTGCAAACAGATCGCTGAAGTGTGGTTGAATTGTGGCGCCATTTACGTATCATCTCGATCAAAAACGCGTTCTCGCATTTAGCTGAAATCCGTTTGTTCACCAATGTSAAAGGGCGGTTGAAGTATCAATAATTCAAGTACACATTATGAAAACATTCAAAAGCCACACCATTAGGCGTTTTAGTTAGCGCTTTCTACAACAAAAAAGACTCGTGATATTTGCTAAATTAAACGATGGGTTTAATCACAAGGCTTTATAAACACAGAAGGGAAATGGCTGTARCAGCAGACAAGACATCGCCATTTTATCAGGACAACACATTAGCTGTGTGGATTCTCTTATCATCGTCAGGGTTTTTTGGCGCCAACGCTGAACCATGAAACAAAAGGAAACCATCAAATGTTATATTTAGTTTCTTAAGATTCTAATGGCTATAATTGCAACAACTTAGAATGCAATATTAATCACGAAGACACAGGAAAGACGAATTAAACACATTAAAATAAATGAGAATTCAAAGAGATGGACAATAATAGGAAATCGGTTTTAATTTGATGATCTAAAAAAGCAAATCATGTTTCATGCTCTCATGYCTATAGTAAGTATGTGTATCAAAGTGGTACACTTGTCTGAAACTGAGAACAAATTTATCAATCAAATTCACGGCACGCTACAATTTCAAGGGTGTTTTTCAAGTTCATGTAGAAAGCAATATCAAAATGAAAGCGCACGTACTCTAGTGAGAACAACAACACTTGATTTACACGGACAAAATAATTCAATAACTTAAAATAAGAGGCCGCTTTGTTGTCCATTGTTTTCGATTCATGGTACGTGTGAAAAACAAACTCAAAAACAGCGCGGAAACTTTCTGCGTGCGTGAACTTTCAAATTCATGAAAACAACATGTCAATAAAAGACAAACGGAAGAATATCTTTCCTCAGATATTTCCATGGAATTAAAGCATACAGTGCTCCTTCAGAAAAAGCAGTATCTATGGATACCCAATGGCCTTTGCCACACTCTTGCTATAGCTTTTCACTCAGGTCTTCCATTGCGTAAAAGTTGGTAAAGGATAAATTGCTAAACTGATCACTTAATGTAATCAAAGTAGGCCATTTTCATTCCTTTCCAGACTAATGGGACTTAGAATTAGTTCAAATTAGTTAAAGATATACCCAAAATGACCAGTTTATATTTCAAAAGCCTACTTACGTCGATAAACAGAAATAAATTCCCATAGTATTGCTGAACATGGTTTTATTTACCACTCTATGAATACGCCGCTACAGGTGTAGAGGAATTGTTAAATGTAACTYTTGAAAAGAAACATTTTGAAATTGTTTACTAAAAGTCCTTGATCTAAGCATGTTTTAGCAGGCGTCAGACAAACATCGGGCTCAAGATACTCATGAACGTGTACATGTGGTTAGCCAGACACTGCCCTAGCGATCACCGCTCAAAACCAAGCCATTTGATCCTCTTATACTTATTGGCCATCTGGCTAGAAAAGATACATGTATTGCACCATCTGTACTACACATGACTGTGCGAACTGTGCGCTGCTTAGCGGAGTTTTGATCGGCACATCCAATCAGTACTTCTACTAGTAGAGGGAGGASGAAGGAGGCTTTGTGGTTAAAACACTCTTCGAATGCCYCATAGAAAGGTTTATTTTTGTTTCAATCATGTTGTGTGTTGTTGCAGACTCTAAACAGCAGTCGTATTCGCAAAAAATGTCACAATTTTGATTGTATTTGAGAATTTTGTATCAATTTATCCACATGTAGCCGGATTTTTGTTATCCGCAACATTTTTTCACGCCGATTAAAATGAAGACCGTATACATTAACCGTCACACCTAACAAGTTCAAATTTTGTATGTCAGGTTTAGTATTCAAAGATTTTTCCAAACTGTAAAAATATCAGTATGATCAACATAATTTACCTTTTAGTTTAGTAACTCGGAAAACATGTAAATGAGTCAAAATGAAATGTTGATTCAAACTGTGGATCTCTGTGATTAAGTAAGACGCTAACAGTGTTCTTCCGTCTTGGAAAGTAACGATAACTTTTCATATATTTTTGAAACAGCATTTCAAAAAGCAATGGCTAATTATCAATAATCGGCCTGCACGTATMTACTGAGGAGAATCATTTCCCAACCTGGCTGATCCACCATCACGTTGCATGAAGCTCCTCGACAAACTTTTTTTGGAGTTTGCGAGTTTTCCATCAAAGGTTAGTCTTACTTTTAAAGAGACAATTATGGAAACTTCTAGTGGAAAGCTACTAATCAAACTATGTTCATGATAAACCCAAAGAAGCTGGTGGTCTGGAGAAGGCATGTACTAATAAGCTTCACGTGCCATGCAATATTCAAATTATTTGCCACATATTGCCCTGTTTATACTACTTTGTCCTCGATACCGCAACACCTATATCGCAGTATCATTTATTTGAGTTCATCCTCAGTGAGTTTTTTAACATAAATTCCTAATAAAAAAAACAACAACAACAACAACAAACATTTGCATCTCCAATGAATCAAACAGTGTGACGCTTTTTGTTTTACAGATGTCTCAATGAAACTCAATTACTTATCCCCGAATCCCAGACTCGTGTTCAATCGTTACTCTTTTTCCCGCAATATGATGCTCTTACTTCACATTTCCCATGATGCATTGCGCGCCATGAAATAGAGCGAGAGAAGCGACTGGGTACGAGTCTTCACGAATCCTTAACGAAACTGGCGCCGATGACAAATCCACTGGGCGTGCGTTCATTACAAAACACGTCAAATAAGTTATCAACCACAATAGCTTTATTAAATCTATCTTTAACCGGAACCAATGAAACATCTTAAATACAACTTTGCTAAGTTTTTCCAGCACTATATTCAAAGCCAATAATTCAAATTTATAAAAAAAAAACGAACTTTAAAATTTTAACTATTTTTTTTACTAGTGTGAAATACAAACGTTTCATTTAATTATTCTCGATTTTAACATCAAAAAATTTCAAAACACAGACATGGGATCGATTTAGGAGGTTAACCGCGCCTTTACACTAAAACGAGACAAGCGGAGAGCCTGCAATGATAGATAACTCCTAAAGATGTTAATAAAAAAGAGTTGTCCATCTTACAACTACACTAAACTCCATCACATGTTGTTATGCGATATTTATAGACAACAAACAAAATCCAATTAAGACTTGTCTATCCCAGAAGCACGTGGTAAAATCGTAGATAGCCGTAATGTCCAGTAAACAAGAAATATTGCCAATAGTGCGTTCCGATTTCAAAACTTTTATTGAAATAGCCATATAGTAATTTCGATAGCGATGATATTACGACGGGAGCCATTGACAATTTTGAACAGGACAAAAAGACTATCGTTGTAAAACCCATCGTTTATATAATAGAAGCAAATAATAATGCTCAGAGAAATAGACTTTCTTATCCAAACCTCTAAATGATAACATTTTATCAATTAGTTTTGTATGCTACTTTTAGTGGACTTACAAATTATAAGCACAAGTCCCTCAAATTACTTAATGTCAGCTGATCGTTTTACTTCCGCAATAAAATTTACCAAAAGTGATAAAACAATAACTTTAATCAAACCACGTGTGTAAGGAGAATCTTCGCCCTCATTAGACCTTTTGCATGAAACGGTCACATGGTACTAAATCCACCATATTGGATGGAACAATACCCATTGGGATGTTCAAAACAAAGGAAAGTCAAGCTTGACGGACTCGGAGTTCCCTTAGTTTTCGAGGTTKTTTACATTCTTTTGGCATCCAGTATGACAGATTTAGTACCATATGTGATCGTTTCTTCATACAAAAGGCCTATGCAAATTCTTCTACGGAATTTGGGTATTTTTTTAAGTTGAACACAAACGAACGGTGTTTACATGCATCACAAATTTCATGGTGTTCACGTGGAACGCTTTTTATGGTTATTGTATGAATGCATTAGATCAGAGGTTAGTTGCGCAAGTAACTTTAACATATGATACAAATATTTCATCTACCTACAGAAGACTTGGACGGCGTAGCTTGCTTGTTAGCTGGTGTCTAATCGGATTGTGCGCAGTCGATGTTGGTGTGCAAGAATACAAGCTGCTTCATTGGCTCCACCGCAGTAATGTGAAGACGAAAATACAGTCAAAAGTTTACCGTTTTGCTGCACCTAATAATAATAGGGAAAAAATCTTATATTTAACGCTGGCACACATTCTTGAAAACGTTGTACACGTGAAAAAGTACTGCATTAATTGAACACTGCAAAAGCCTTCTATGAGAAAGGACAGCCAAAAGGGAGCTAAAGAATTAAGACCCTTTTGATGCAGCGAGTGAAGATTTTCCCGCTAAAGACAAGACCCCTTTTGTGATGTACTTTCTCATATATTTATGTGTTTGGGGTAAATAATTTTGACATAGGTAAGAATTTGTACTCTTTCAAGTCGGTTTACCTAAAGTTGTACACAACATGATATACAGTGCGGTTTCATTCAAGAATCCCAACATTCACATGTACTAATGTCTGAAACTACAATTGTAGTGAATATCACTCTTACTTGAAATCCTGACTGCTGAACTTCGTGAGCCCTTATCACGTGCGTTAAATCGTTCCTTTTCAAAAAGGCGTCGAGTGCTTGGTAACTGGAATGTTCAAAACAATTCTTATAACAGGCTTCCTGTGTTAGGTTGGCATAAATTAATATTTCTAGACCAAGTCGCTTCTTTATTCTCCGCCACAGGATACCCACAGTAGGTTGTTATCATTAGTCAATAATCACATACCTAAACAAATGCGCTGTTCCTCGTCTGGGGTTTTTAACAAATCCGTGATTTTCGATCAACTGTCGTTCCATGTCTGCTGTCACAGTGTCTTCCTCTCTGYAACCATCAAAACAATACAGCAATTTATTTTCMCAGATTTAAAAACGATTTTTTCAGTCATAATCAAAGTTTTAGATAAATCGTTTTAAAAAACCTCTCTCACACAATGTGTGGTGAGTGCCACATTCTGAGCCTTACTCATTGTTGTTATTTGTTTTTTTTTTCTAAATTCTCATTGCTCGCTTTAATTTACGTCATTATTATTCCTAGGGTTTAATTACCATTGGCTAAAATCTACGATGCACTCCTACATGTACTARTCTGAATTGATTCAAAACCAACTTTCGACTCGAATTTTATTCTATATTTGGATAAACTAACTATAAGCAATATTCACTGAAATATTTTCACCATAAAATTCCGTGAAAATAGAATTTAAATCAAGTCGTTTTCAAACGAAATAGAACTTCGTCGCTAACCAGATGTATACAATTAATTTGRTTGAAGCTACATTCTAATTGGCTCTTTACYTAAAATGAGAACAGTTACTTCAGCAATAACAAAACCGAAAGGCAATCATTTCATAACAGAGCTTGATTTTTGATCTTATGTAATTTTCCTTTTGTCGGTTTCCATAGTTATACAATGAGAAAAGACACTTCATGGCTGTGKGGTTTGMATATGAATGCTGCATGTCAACATAGCTTGACGAGCAAAACATAAAATCTATTCAATCGTTGAATTATAAGTTTTTAAAAAGCTRCGGAAGTGAGCGTAAAGATGACAAAGGAGAAGTAAAGAAAACTTATAAATTCATTTTAATCCTTTCGAAATGTATATTTCCTATTTTAGTGTAGAATAATATGAAAACAAATGGCAGCAAACAGTCAAGATTAGTAGCCATGGCGAAAGTTAACTATGATAATCATTCATCATTCTATACCATGGATCCTAAACATTTTGTAATAAGAAAATATTCTTCAAAGGTTCTTATTACCAAGATTTTCAATTTTCAAAGATTTTTCATATAGAAAAAATATATATATATAAAGCTAAGTGAAGCCGGTGTGATTTGAATTCAGTTTACTGTTGTTCAAGCGTATCCTTTCTTTTTTTAGTTGTATTGTGATGAGGGCTAGCGTGATTTCAATGGCAGTGATGTAACTCTATTGTTCCCCTGCAAATAAACATAATTTATTCTCTGGTTCTCTCTAGTCATTTTTTAAAGAGCGACCAACAAGGCTTTATACTACGCTTTATTAAAGTAAGGAAAAGATACTTTAACACTTGTAATATTGACACATTCATTTATTAGTATTCTGACAATGTGATTCGCTAAATTGACAATATCGTGATGAAATTGACGTATTTTAATACGTACTTTATCATAAATACGTTCAACAGAGCAAAACAAATTATTATAATTATGCTGCCAAGCGGCTATGACTGAGAATTGGTTTAGAAGAAAACTAACAWCTCTTTCATACAGGCAMAGAAAKTCAAACTAACTGACGAACAATTCAATCYAATTCAAGAAAAGAGCAACCAGAGCCGATTCTTCCAAGTAAACATAAAAAGCAAATAGTCTTATTTTCGTAAAGTAACTATCRCTTAGTCAGTTGGACATTCAACGAAATATAGTTTATCTGAAGGACAAATCTACCAAGATGAGTTTTATCAACTACTTGAAGCTTCTGGTCCGACGGCGAACAAAAGACATTCTTGAATCAGAGACGGTGTTTCATCGTTGTCTAAAATCACTGGATGTTACTTTACTGGGTTTAGGTTCTATGTTAGGAGCAGGGCTCTACATCGCTACTGGTTCTATAGCTCGAACTACAGCTGGGCCAGCCATAGTTTTATCTCTTCTAATAGCAGCAATACCAGCATGCTTGTGTTCACTTTGTTACGCTGAATTTGGTTCAAGGATATCACGAACAGGYTCTTCTTACACTTACACATACTTCGCTATGGGTGAAATATGGGCATTTTGGGTTGGTTGGAACTTAATCCTTGAGAATACGATCGCTGTGGCACTTTTAGGCCATGAAATAAGTCGCTTTATTGACAATATGGCTGGAGGAYATATMTACGGGTTCTTTACTAAATATATATCAAACTGGCAAGTCACTGGGTTTCTTCGTTTTCCAGACTTTCTTGCATTCGGAGTGGTATTAATATTCACAATTGTCTCGGCCGTTGGAGTTAGGAAAACAGCGTCTTTTATACGCATCGCTACGCTTATTAACATTCTTGTTCTGTTATTCGTGATTCTTGCCGGYATTTACTATGTGGATACAAAGAATTGGAATACTGTAGAGAAATTCGCTCCTTTTGGYTTCCATGGTATCATGGCAGGTGCCGCCAGCTCATACTTCTCGTACCTTGGATTTGACACTTTAAACACTGCAAGCGAAGAGACTATTCAGCCTCGAAAGATCATCCCTTGTGCAAATACTATTAGTACCTATGCAGGAGTCGTGGTATACCTGGTAATTGCTGGTATTTTGACATTAATGATTCCTTATAGTGAACTGTCTACAAATATTGCYTTACCCGAAGCCTTCTCCTACCAAGGCTTTCCATTAGGCAAGTACTTCGTGGCTGTTGGAGGAGTGTTCGCAATGACTACATCTTTAGTGACATATCTTTTTTCTGGGTCTCGGATTATGTACGCCATGGCAAACGACGGTCTTTTGTTTGAGTTTTTTGGTAGTGTTAGTAWKATGACGCAAGCTCCTGTTCGTTCTGTGTTCTTCTGTGGTCTGAATGCYGCTATTGTGGCCCTGTTTGTGGACACTAACAAGCTAGTAGAGATGCTGTCTATTGGTACAATGCTGGCTTACACAATGGTCGCTATTTCTGTCCTTTTAGATCGCTATAAATCACCATATCATGAAGGGCTAACCATTAAAGTACCAATACTTCAAAAAGACAACGACAATAACGATAACAAACATGCTGAAGAAGACACAACTTGCTGCAAAAGAATGCATGAATTATGGAAAAGTCGCGACACTAAAACAGAAAATGAAAAGAATGAGCAAGTTCCAAAGCGTTTGCCAGACTCTAAGACCTTTTCGATTGCCTGCATGTCATGTGCAACTATGGTTGTATCAACATATGGATTTTGCCTCGCAGTGCAACGAAATTACACATTCGCGTACATCATGGCTGGAATCTTTGCAGTAATCTGCATATTCTCCGTGATAGTTCTTTGCATTCAGCCGAGACATCATATCGAAACCAAGTACTCTGTACCATATGTACCTACAATCCCAATTTTAAGCATCGTCATCAATGAATACATATTAACAAATCTATCAAAGATCACTTGGGCAAGTTTYACGGCATGGTCGTTTCTTGGTAAGAACAATTTTGATCATTTCTATTACATTGGGGTGATGTCTAAAAATACTTTTGCTTATTTGATATTCTCAGACAACTGTTATTTTCATCTATACAAAAAACAGCTAAAATAGTTCAGATTTGCTTTTTCTTCACAGGTTTTGCCGTTTATTTTATTTATGGCTTTCACCACAGTAAAGAAGGCCAAGAAGATGATGAAATCCAAAGGTTTTTGCTGAAGTATTCTTCGCCGACCAAGAGTAGTGAAGACTATTCTCCGCCGTCAAGCAGCACAAGTAGTGATGATGAAACAGTGCTTTCATCAATGATCATGACAACAGATGAAGAAAGATCACCAGTCAAGAAACTAAACGCACCTAGAAAGTCTTAACATAACGGGGATACTAGTTAGTGTATTAGTACACCTATCGGTAAATCATTTTTCTTTCTTGGTAATGATCATGGAATGATAGTTTGAATTCCTTTTCGATAGTATAGTAAATAAATTTAAATAATTAGACTTTAGTCAAAAAATATGTGATAACGTTTATGAAGAATGAAATAATTTTCGCATAGTAGAGGTGAAAGCTTGATTATAGTACAGAAAAAATCTAAATATAACTTAAAAGTAATTARTTTAGAACTAAGGGCGAGGGAATAAGTTAGATAAATTAACGATAGATTTTAAAATTTTGATAATGTCAAGTGGCCGAGGCCATTTTCACACAAGGGAGACAGAATATTCTCGTAAAAGTCATAAAGTGAATAACTTGCACTATATTATCCTGTCCAATCTTTCATAAATAGAAATATATGACAACACGGCGGGTCACATTTCGTTTTGAGTTCGCATTCGAATTAGAATCGACAATCTTGTCTATAGTTGTCATAGTTTCCCATACAGTGAAAAACGTTGCCACGCTGTCGAGATCTCAGTTCCAGTCGTTTTCAACGATACAACTAGATATTGAGAGCTGAACGTTTCTACGACTTGTAAGAAATCAAACTTATAAGAATGTTATTAATAAATATGAAGTTCAAAGTACTTGTGATAGGTCATTACCATCATTATCACCATAAACACGCACTCTCGTTCTATAAACAACACATACACCTACTTGCAGAAACGTTGTCATAGAAAATAGAACATTTGAATTTAGTAAAAAGGAATAAATTAAAACAAGACAAAAGAGAGCGTTCAGCCTCAGTGATCTTCTTTTGTCTTTTTGATTTATTCCTTTTTACTAAATACAAATGTCCTATTTTCTATATGACAATGTTTTCGCAAGTAGGTGTATACGCATTATGACATCACTATCAAAAATCCACGTCATTATCTTGATGAAAAAGACTTATCACTGAATTTGAAACTTTAGGATTTTTCTCTAGCCATCTTACCTCAAAGGGTCACCCCACATCAGCTCCCATGCCAACCCGTCTTGGTTTTCTGGTTCGCTCAAATGAACTGGAATGCGATTAATGGCTTCAAGGAGCCCGCCATCATGACTAGGCAGCGGAATACCTCCATGAACACAGAAAATCTACAAAAAGAAATAAGATTTTATGACAATGATTTCTTGGTGTCGTTTTCTACAAATTGACAGTTACGAACTAACTTGAGTTCCTACTTACTGGATTAAAGTAATACTAGCGATTGTTGGTACTGGGTACAAATATATAGTTCTTTCAAAAAGAGAGGACAGCAAATGCACGGTCGAAGGTTATTATGGGTAATGATCATTCCTTGTTCATGCATCAAACGGAGCCAATGATCTTCCAGATTTTTTAATGTTTTCAAACAGATGGTTGAATTTAAATTACGAGCACCTTTCGCCATTCATTGGCCGTTCTACATGAACAACTGCAGTAAAATATAAAAAGMAATAAAGGGTAAAAATACTGACCTTATCATCAATAGTGGCGGCAATAGGTAGGACATCAAACACAGCATTGACAGCTTTCCATACAGTATGACCCACTTCTTCACCGAACTTTTGCTTACATTCACTGTGGAATTCAACACATTCAGTCATATGAGCGGGCTAACATAGCATCAAAGAAAGATATCAACGGAACGCATCACCAAAGTGGGGAGGTGCAAGACGTGACCCCCAAAGATTTTGACACATGTAATAAATGCACAAAAAAGTGAAATACACGGTTTTTCAAAGCTTTCAACTATGCGTGTCCACCCCTCCCCCCATAGTTGCCGATTTACTAAACCTACTTACTTTTTAAAAGTGAACACCTTTTGAATAGCACGGCATTCGTGATTTCCTCGAATCAAGTAAAACTTCGATGGAGCTAGTAGTTTTTGMGAGAATAGGTATGCAACAACCTACAAAAATAGTTCAAAATGCACAAGCTATTTGAGATTTCCAATGGTTACTCATAGACTAGTGAAACATTTGGTTCAACTTTCTCATATTTGACTAATTGGTTAAATATAAGTCAGTGGACCAGAAACTGAAAAAAACTCCACACTGAAGTTTACGCCAATTTYTGTTTTGACGTACCTCGACCCCAAACTCCCCTCGATCAACATAATCGCCAAGAAAGAGAAAATTGGCCGGAGTAAGAATAGGGCCCATTCTCCACAGAAGTTTCTCGAAGCATACTAAGTCGTGAAAGTTTCCATGGAGATCACCTTTAAAATAAAGGAATAGTCAGTTATTTGTACTATGAGGCGTGGTTACTAAGTACTAAGCATAACATTGACTGGGTTCCACCAGTGTCTTTTCAATGGCGAATCTTTCAAGACGTTAGAATTATCCCTAATTTAGCCCATTTGACCAAATATGGCGAGGGATTTTGTCGACTGCGAATTGCCTCAACCACAAACGTAAAGGCAATTTGCCACGCAATATAATCGGCCAATCAGGCAATTTGCTACGCAATATAATCGGCCAATCAGGGAAGAGAATGTGTGCTTGTAATGAATGATTCTTACCTAGAACATAAACAGGGGACTGTATCTTTATTAGTCTTGGTTCGTTCATCAAAACCTGTTTTACGTTATGGCAAATAGAAACTAAAGAGCTCGCCAAGGCTGTCATATCCACCGCACCCCAACTGAAGGCAGACTTGCCGTTTCTTAGCAACGGGCTTGAGGTATTTGGTTTCATGGCTCGTTCAAAGTATCTTAAGGCAGCTAGCATTTGATTGGCATCTGATTGCTATGGCAACGAAGATGTTCTGAGTACGAGAATTTGATTCATTTATAAKTTTGTAAGGTCTCCAAAGATTGRAAAKAAACTAGAGGGWTAATAAWTTGCTTTTGATAGAGCGATTTAATCAAATTAATACCAGCGAAAAGACATATGAAAATATGCTCAAAACGGATGCCAGTTGTCGGAAAAATTAKAGATARTARATTTCGTAWATGAAACAAGTCTTTTTTACTCCTAAATAATGATAATGTGAAATGACATTCCACTTACTTTGTTAAAAGTATTGATTGACGGTAGACGTTCTATTTTACAACGAGTGCTTGTAAGATCAGCACAACCAGCMACTGCATCACGATCATGCATATCCCATAATGCACTGACGTCAGACAACATGCCGCTTCGCTTGACCTTCACGGAATGCGTGGCTAACTCGTACGTCTTCTCRGAAACCAATCTGTACGCAWATACACATAAATACATTCATACATCTTGTAACTCCTTACGACACTCACAACTAATACGACTACCTACAAAACTGTCTACCACCATCAATAGTTTCATATAAAAAGCGACAAAAAAACCCAGAAACAAACAAAGAAACAAAAAACAAAAACACAAAAAAAAGAAAAAAGACAACAACTAAAAACAGTGAAAGAGAATGACAAAAGAAATACATATTACATTGTATGTACCTACTAACAATGTCTATATAGTACTGAAACTATTAAATTTACTAGTATAAAACATCAAAACAATTTTTTAATACATAAACATACTTCAACGTTGAACAATCATCGTCTGTAACATCCATTGTCTCCTCGAACTCCRTGCTAACACTTTTGCGCTTCTTCTGTGCTGGGCTGTAACCATTAAATCGTAGTATTAGTTAGAATGCAGGGAGTTCAGGATTTTTGTCACAGAGGSGTTCAGGTCACCAGGGGGAGGGGATGTATTTGAGCAAAAAATGGTCACAAAACGGACTGAAAAAATGAAAAGCCCTTTCACCCTAATGCTAAACAAAACTGCTTATAAAAAAAACAAAATTTTCGAGAAATCTTTTATCTCTGAACCCAGTCAGCTTTATCACAGTTTTATCGCAGTTTTAAATATAAAAATGAGAACGTTGCTATTATAAGGCCATATTGAATGTCMATGTATTTGTTCTCGCAAAAATTGTGTTTTCAGTAAGAAAAAGACTGTAACATTCACTACTAGTCTCGATACTAGTCTATTAATCTCAATGAAGTAGTCAAAGTGTCAAATAGAACTGGGTTATGGGAACTACCATTGGAATATTACTAAATTTATTCCCCAAACGAATAATAATACATGTATGAAGAATTTAACAAAGAAAGGAAAACTGAATGAAAAAGAAGGGAAGGATGGAAGAAAGGGAGCAAGGGAGAGAGGGAATATGATGAGAAAAAAGGAAACAGGAAGAGATGAAAGAAAAAAGAAGAAACTGTGGACAGAAGGGGAGGATGAAAGGTGGAAATTACACAGTTATAATCAGCAACTTTTGCCAAAAATTTGGAAAGTTGCAGCTTATTTCAAGGCATGTAGATAGACAAAGGCCAAACATTAATGAAAAAATGAAGGGGGGAAAAAGAGAGAAACAAACCAACAAAGGACAAGTCAAATARAACTTTACCTTGAAGTGGGTGATTTATCTCCTTCACTTAAATTTTCCAACAAGTCATCTCTAGCTAACTTGGACAGAGAAACAGGAAGGCGAAAAAGAACCGATGTACCACGGAACTTGAGGGAACCAACAGCTTCTAAAAAGTCTACTAAGGGTAATGACTTCTTTCTCTTTGGCCCAAAAACCCTTTTGGAGAAACAAATGTTCTATTAACATATAGGCTACCTGAGCTGTTGACAATTTACTYCAAAATTTYACTAGACTAACCYGGCTACTTTGGATGTAGCTTCAGCTAATTCTTTAGTATCCAGTTTCTCTCCTTTAGCAGCAAAAATATCTTTAATCATGTCTCTGTTTAATAAAAATTGATTACTTTGATATGTGTTGATCAAAAATATTATTTTAATTTGTATAATATATTTATTTCCATTCGGTTTTACTTACTTGAATTCATCAGGTTCTAGAAAGCCAGAATTGCATTTGTTGTAAAATCTAAAAATGTAGCGGCATCTCAGCTCCCCAGTTATACCTCCATGGGGAGTGCTTGGATCCATTGCTGCTATTCCATAAAGAAATTCTTTGTAATCTAAAGTTCCTCTATTAGCAATGTCAAATGTTCTGTAAAMAGTAATAGAATGACTATAAGCATTTGAAGCAAATGAAATGAAAGCTTATCAATAATATGTTAAGTAGATACTGGCTATGAATTTGCTTGACATCTTAGGTACAGTTAGCTTTGCCATGGCATCAAATCAAAATGACCAGTAAGCATGCAACCTTCTTTCACAATTTTATAGACATTATTCACAGGTATCCATCATTGCAAGCTCACAATTCATCTTGTGTCAAATCAAAGGCATGGTTACCAGAGACACTTTGAAAGTGGTATGGACCAATATCATGAAAGACTCATCCCTTCCTTATAAGAACTCATAGACCAATGAGCATTAGCCAAGCAAACCAGACCCATTTGTCATAATCCGGACTAATCTCAAACTTGTGGCTATGACCCATGCATGCCACAGAGGTAACAGAKTATGACAYGGAAAGAAGAATYGTGATCATMATCACCTGAAATAGTCATCAATCTCATCTTTAACATCTACTTTCATCTCATCTAAAATGTCGCTGAGTTGTTTCTTGTTTAAGCAATCAATGCCCTTGTTTGAATTGTTTTCAAATGTCTTTTTTATGAAGTGTTGCTCTGGAAAAATGATAAGTACTGTAAAATTAAATTATTTTACCATATACACTGGTACACAGAAAATGAACCCAAAAGTTGTTTCTTAAATTATTCATGATATTATTCTAATCTACAATATTATTCTAACCTATAACATGTATATTGCAGTGTTTAGCACTATTTGCAGAGRCAATTGCACTGGAGATAGGTGAAGTTTGTTAGGTGTGAATGTAAAGCAATACTCAATCCATACAATTTTGCATTCGTAATCAYTTAGAGCGGATTTCGTATGAATGGGACACCGTTACCGCAYRGTTACCGCACAGTTACCGCACCTGGCCTGCAGAATTTTGGTGAACCAATGGGGCACTAGAATTTGGTTACAGTACGATTACGGACACAGTACAGTACCRTCCGTTTCCYACTCATGCGAAATCCRCTCTATTCTTCACAGTGACAYTTTGAAACCACAACAAAAAAATTGRGTCCCCYTCATCAAACCACCCGTACACTCCCCTGATTATGGTCAGTACTTTTTCATGCTTAATTTAGTGTTTGTACTTTATTATTATCATAAAGGTTAGCTATCACTCAGAYTTACCAAGTTTTCCAAACAGAGCTGGTGTAATAAGTTTTTCATATGATCCATGATCTATGTTGGTGTTACCAGGCTTACTGGCAGATGCATGAATTTTATCAACTCCACTTGCATTAGCACCTTCACTGTYATCATTTTCATTACAATTGTCATCCTTGTCATCTTTGTCCATCTTTGTCTCCTTCTTCAAGTCAACTTCTAGTTCTTTCATGATATTACTGACTTCACAATCAGAATTTAAATCTCTTTTGTCCAATTGATCTAGTTTGTCTGTTGTTGAAATTGTCTCCTTATAAATGCTTGTGTCATTTTTTTGAGGATCGCTTGATGAAGAAGTTGAAGATGGTGACTCATCAAGAAAGCTTAAGGGTATTCCAGAACATTCTATTAATAAAGAATTACCAGACATAAAATTAGTAGKAGTAAAGCTAAAAGTCAATTCAGGGAAAGTGCTGTCCATGTACAACCTGTAACGCCATAAAAGTACATTTTWGGGGTGATTAATCATTTTTTWAAAATGTTTTTCACCTTTCTTTAAGATTTTGTATGACCACTGCATGGCTTCAGTTGTTATATTGCCAACATCCTCAGCTTCACTTTCAACCAATTCATTGAGCTTGAACCATTTGAAAGCATTTAGTTCATTTGATTGCACATCAGGGCACATAAGAGATTCATTGCMACTTGCAATCACAACTCCATATCTTTCTTTTGTTTGAATACCGTCCTGTTGTTCACTGTTAGGTTGACCATGGCATTCATTGCCACTTAATGATTGACAGTTAACATGAAATGTAAATGTGATATTCCTGGTTTCTGGATTTCTGTCTTCATTTTTAATTGAAAGAATTCCTTCATTTTTCACCAGAAAGGACTCCTAGCAAGAAATAATCATATCAAAKATTACAATGGAATCAATACCAGGAAAGGTATTCAGGGATTTTATTAGAATGTAATAATCGCTGAAATCTGTCTATTTTTAGTTTTGAGAAAGCAAATATTGCCAAATTACACTTGTAATGATTGTGAATAAACTATTTTGTTCCAGTTTTTAATTCACAGGGTGTACATAGTACCAGATCACAACATTGATACATGTTTGAAATTCATACTACTTCAAAGGAAAAGCCCTGGTCAAATATATGTATTAAATCCCTCACCCAAGGAGGGTCAAGGAGAGCCCTGTTTCAATGAAGGTCGAGTGACCAAGGTCACGAGTAACATTTTATTTTCAATAGCCCATGTCTTACCAAACACTCCTGTTTTAGTCAAGATATTGATAGTTGCATTATAAATATTTTCAATTATTTAAATACAGATAACACTGCTCTGGAGGAGGGTAGACATTTCCAACATTTCTGCATCCTTATTTTGTTAACTGTAAAGTAGGTTTGAAGTAATCAATGATCCTAAAAATTCTACATACAGTATTCAAGAAATGAACTAAACATGTAATTATAATATTACAGTTAATATACATTAAGCTTAAGCTTAATATCTTATTCCACAGACTGTAATAACAGTAGCTTTCGCATTCACTTTCACAATGCAATGGATTGCTTCAAGACATTACAGTCATGACAACACGACCTTGATCAAACTTTCTATATTTACCGAAATTACTCCGCATACCTATTTAAGATTTATTAAGCTTATACATAAGACCTAGGGTGTCAAATAGGCTTTCCCTAGATATAGTTTCAAAGAGAACAATAAGCTAAGTTATATGGTTGAATTGAGCACCTAAAAAAAATTGCTTAGTGAAACTCTCCCATGAATATTTGAAATGAAGTTTAACAAGTATTCTTATCAATCACCAAAGCCCAGCCGCATATAATTTTTGGCGCCAATCACCTTGCCAAGTACGACGTTCGCTTTGCACCATCGAGAAACAGCATCTACAAACCCTTCTCTCCTACAAATATCAACGACAGGACAGCGCCATTGATCATATCCGTGAGGTCTTTCGAGAAGAATTCTTTCACTTGTTTTGCAGCTTATCACAAGATTTACTTCAAAAGACATCAGATTGAACGTTGTTTGCTTACAGGAAAATGACAGCGCACGATCATTATCGTCCTCCGCCATGTTTATATCAAACTTTTGTTGGGAGGGGAGAGATGAGGATACGGAGAGGGGAGGGCTGATGTATAATTTTTTAAATTTGGGCTGCCTGTGTAACTTGCAAAGAGCAAGCGGTCCAACCTCGTCCCCAGGGTCTCTCGGCTCGCTCTTTTTTCAAAATGGCGTCGCAGCGAGCGTCCGCCATTTTGCGAGTAGAGAAGACCCTGGGAACGAGGTTGCAAGAACAGCAGGGACATTTGTTGGCGCTGACCGCACGTATATCGCGGGCAACGCATGAAAGTTGACGTTTTTCATAAAAAGGCGGGAATGAAAGACTCTTGAAAATGCTTCACTTTTTGTTCAAGATCAAAAGATATTTGAGAAAATTCTATCAAGAATAGGGAAAGAATGGGATCTTTTGTTTACAACGTGCTTGTTTTTAAGCGAAAATAATGTCTTATTTGGAAATGAGAAGCGATCTTCCACACAGGACACGAACGGCTGAACATTTCATGAAACCACACCATATCATGAAAAGTCAAATTTCTCAACAGTGAGATCAAAACAGACATCCATATCTGGTTTATTTTGTCACAGGGAGTCATGAAACTGGATAAACATGTTAAAATTTATAAAGACTGAAATGATCAAGATCTAATGGGTCTGAGATTATGCGATTCACGTTAGATGGCATGTTTTTGTATAGATGACAAGCAAACCAACCTCGTCCCCAGGGTCTCTCGGCTCGCTCTTTTTTCAAAATGGCGTCGCAGCGATGACCCTGGCAAAGGCTGGAAAATACTCCCAGATTTTGGGAGTATTTTGTCACGTGATTTTCTTCAAAACGGCGGACAAAATGGCGGACAGTAATCGTTTCATATGCTGAAAAAGGCCTTATTTACAGTTTATTTTTACCAGATTTGGAGTTGTTTTTGAATAGGAAGGCGAACTATTTAAGTACTAGCCGACATCAATATGGAAGTTGTTTGTGAAGTTTGATCATGAAGTATCCACTTCAATATAAATTTTTGGTTCTTACAATTTTGAATAACACACCAGGACTTTTGTCGTAGGTCGTGCCCAGAACAAATAAACAACTGGATGAAGCCTTGTTTATAGAACTCTCAGATTTTATTTAAATCAAGTCAATGAAAATTGCGTGGCATACATTTCTAGCTCACTGTTTTAAGGGCGTGTGCAAAAATGWTGATGTTGACACGTCGCACGTTTTTGGTCATAATGTCGGAAATAAACATCTCCAAAAGCCAGAACTTCCAATGTACTTTCTCCATCTCTCGAGCAAATAAAAACAATTAGAAAGTRWAAGACTTTCCACCAAGAATTCGRATTAAGCTTCAATCGAAAAGTTTTTCTATTTTTTCTAGAGTTCAATATGTCGGGCTCACTGGTTTAAAACTATTTCTTGAAAAACCGGGGACGTGCCCAGAGCGGAAACCTACCTAAATTAAAATCTTATGTAATTCTAAAAAGMAYRGAATTGTAATTTCGCCTTTGAAAATTGCGTGGATATCTCAAATCAACGTACAAAGACGTGCGAATTTAGTAAAAATTTCCACCTTCGAGTAGAATAATTGAATCACTGCTCGTATTTATGCCGAAACAAGTTCTTAAACTTACCCTAAACTGGACTATTTTTGAACAGTTTCATCTACATAGAAAACATCTTCTTTGATTATTCATGGGAAGAGTAAAACACACGYAAATGAATACAAAAGAGAGGACACCAGCTCTCAACACAGCCTTCGCCATGTTTACTTGGGTCAGCAATTTGTCCCGGGCGATGTGTGATACCCTCTCCCGCGATATATTTTTTCATGTCAGCGGTTGCGTTAATAACTTGTAACGCATATATATGTACTATATGTGACAGGTAATCAAAGGATGTCTACTCGTATAAGAAAATATTTCTCGACTATTACACTTATATTGTCGAAATTTAACAAAGAAAGCTCAGAWTAAAAGAAACTAGACGGCTAGCTAGCGTAATTATACATGTTGTTCATTTGAATTTGTTGAGTGGTTAAAACCACATTTATTATACATTTTTCTACGATKTTTTGTGTTTAACGAGAAACTTTTAACTAGCAAGAACGCAAAGGTATGATAGTTTCTACAAACAACAGATGTCAAGATGTAGCGGATCCCAGTGTATAAAGCATAGGGTYSTCACGTACGGAAAGGGATTGTCACGTACTTAGGACTTATGTTCAACTGACACAATTATGTCAGCGGTTGTTTATCCGTAAAACTTGTATTTTTGGGTTTGAATGACAGTCAAACGGAAATAAAATATGTAAACTTGCGRGAAAAGATAATATTTCTTAGCTGACTAATAGTCTCAGAGTTGTTTGAAAGGTTATTAAGTCTTTCGACTAAWCTTTATTCCGTGTTGAAATTGCTCAATTTTGGATCTGRAAGAGTWAAGATATTTCSTAATTTTCGCCGAAATTCTAATAACGTACTGATAATCAACAACAAAAATTTATACAACTTTTCAGTAAAATCAGACGTTTTGATTGGTTGGCTTTCGTGTGTTATCAAAGTATAGATACACGGATTACGTCAAAACTAATTGTTTGTTGTATAAAACAGATAGATCTCATTTTTCCGTGCGTGTGTACTCTAATAGATACACAGATGACGTCAAAATGTAGTGAGAACAACAGTCACCCACTCGACTGCGTCTCGTGCGTACTTTTTTGTTCTCACTACATTTTGACGTCATCTGTGTATCTATTAGAGTACACACGCACGGAAAAATGAGATCTATTTGTTAAATTCAACGAATGTGTGACAATGTTACAGTCCCTAGCTTGACGAGTGCATATTGTTTTATACACAACCGCTGACATGAAAAAATATATCGCGGGAGAGGGTATCACACATCGCCCGGGACAAATTGCTGACCGTTTACTTGCATCTTCAAAGTTTCCCGCCAGACACAGGTATACCGCGCGCTATTTGACTCACGCATGCGCAGACAAATGTCCCTGCTGTTGGTTGCAAGCGGTCCAAGCCATAGGCCGCCCAACTAATGCATTAGAGACAGAAAAGAGCGAATGCGCACGCTTTTATTATGTATATGTATCGGCGCGCGCTCTTAAAAAAATGCGGGTTACCTGTGGTATATTACGTCACTATCGCGCGCCTCGCGGGATACAAACTAGTCTGTGACAAAGCGTGCGCATTCATTCTTTTCTTTCTCTCAAGCAATAGTTGGGTAGCCTATGTCCAAGCGCGGGAACAGGCGCGGGAACAGGCGCGGGAACTTTGGAATTCAACATGGCGGATGAATTGAACGCTTCTGTTTCCGAAATCCGGAAAAGATATCGTTTTCTGTTATCTTCATTCACCCAAGAAGAAAGACAAGAACTCACTAAAGCTATAATTGAACTAGGGGGCAGTTGTTCCGACTCATCGGTAAGAGAAGTTACGCTATTTTCTTGTTACTAAGGTCCGGTTCATACGTCGTGCTAACGTCGAGCTGTTTATGTGCTAGCGTCTAGTTTATGTGTTTAGCGTCTTCAACGACATATCGACATCCATATGTGCAAGATTCCGTTCAACTTTTAAGACACAAGATTCTCTTTAGACAATTGTATTTATGCCGGGCTGAATTCAATGAAGTTGATAGCTTGAATTAAAAAAAATACGTCTTTTGAATGATCCTTGTATGTATAGGATTACATTACAGTCGTATGA